TGGGAATCGGACTTGGATATCATACTCACTGATGAAGAAATACGAACTTCATGCATGGTCACCCATAAGCTCTCAGTGGCTAGCTTGGCCCAGGAGAAGGGCTATAAAATCTTGACCCGCTGGTACCGCAGCCCGACCCTTTTACATAAAATATTCCCGATGGGTCTTCCTCCTGTTGGCGGTGTCTGAACGCGTAGGGCACCCTCCTACACATCTGGTGGAGCTGCCCACTACTGGCACCCCTGTGGACTCGGTTCTTCGACATCTATAATCAGGTAATGGGAACCGACCTAACACCGTCCCCTAAAATAGCACTTCTCTCGATTTTGCCTGGCTCCAGTTAAGAAGGACCTACTTTGTTTCTTCCTGGCTGCGGCACGCAACATTGCGCCCTCGCCATTGAACACGGTGGTCACCCCCACCGTGCAGGAATGGATTGCCGAGTTGTGTTTGATCATGCGCTTTGAAGAGCTGACAGCCTCACTACATGAGCGTCAGGCACAATGTGCAGTATTATGGACCCCTTGGATTTTATATATGGACACAGCTGCATTTCTGGCCTTATAATGGGACTGGGTCTCTCCTACGGGATGAGGACTGGGACACTGTATCTAATACAACTATCTAATGCCACTGCGGCCCTAACTGGATTGCTAGATTCGATGGAGCCTCCCCTCTCCCATGTGTCTTTCCTGTAGTGTCCACCCCTGTATGCCCCTTTTACCCCGGTCTTGTGTTGCATGTAACTCAAGTATAGCAACTATTTTCCCCGTGATTTATGAAAAACAACACAAAGATGTACTGATATTATATATAAAATTTATTTTAAAAAACATAATATATAAAATAATATCATAATTAATAAGTTAAAAAAATAAATGTAAACATGAAAAAGTCTTGCAGACATTATTTTATAAGAGCTTTCTTCAGGCTGATCACTCTGTTGTTTGCATTTCCACACTTTAGCCAGCTGTTGCTCTTCAGTAAACGAGTGACTCTCTTTTTAGCAGAGCTGAATTCATACTGATGGTGACCATCAAAGAAATAAAGAAGTCCTAAAAAGAAAAAAAAAATGTTTGTTTGTATTTTTAAAAATTATTTCTGAAAATGAATTCATTTTGTATTGATTGCTCATATCAGTCCCAGCTTGGAGTTTACACAGGGCTGAGGACTCATTGTCAGCCCCCATTTAATTGCACTGTCCTAACCAACATGGTCTAGTGTTGATACATGGGAGAAAGTGGATGAGTAATATGCCCCCATACCCATGGCAAAAGGAAGGGGGGCGGGGGGTTCTTGTAGTTCTAACAGTTTCTGTCCTAGGGTGACAAAGCTGCTTTATCATAGATACTCAAACAGTGAGTTGTCAGTACAGGAAATGTATTACTGGCAGGATCACCAGGTGACAATAAAGCCTGATACAAGAAAACAAATGCGGCCACCACATCTAAGGACTGGTAATTTCCAATATATTATATATTTTTGGGGGGGTTTGGGTATACTCTAAACGGAACCTGCTGCTTTCCCCTAAATGGCTAAAGCTTGGGTTCACTTTAAGGTACACTACAGTAGACCCTTGTTTTTTCTTAGGGAAACTTAATTACACTCAATGGCGTCTTATGGTTTCTTCCTGAGTGACTGCATTTTACTGTGAGCTACTTTAACGCACCGACAAGTAAACATCCCTCTAAAGATAGTAAATCTTTGATCATTTTGTGTTCCTGATGAATGTTTCAGGAAGATACATGTATTTTTATTCCTCTGATGGGGTCCCTAATTTCAATACATAGTTCCACTTAATTTACTCACCATTCTTTTGGAAAGCAGCATGAACTTTGCTTCCAACACCAGGTAAGCCATCAATTATTTTCTTAGGAGTTACAGAATCCATTGCTTGCTTTTTTTCATCAAAACTGCAAAAGATAAGAACCAGCCAGGTTAAACCAAGACCATTTTAATAGAATTTTATGAATCTGGGGAGACTTAATAATGACAACTATAATATTGTTAATACAATTATTTAAACAACCCCTAAATGAAGTCTACAATGAGGACCAAATTAAAAAAACATTATGATGAATAAGCAAGATAATATGAAATGGAACTATCTGACTTCATATTTTAGATCAAATGAGAAAAAAAAAGTTTCCACATATTTTTATAGTGGTTTTTCATAAGGGGAAAATTTATAAAAAGTATAACACCGTGTAGTGAACCTATATAAGTTGAAAGAACAATGAGATGTTTGGCAAATTTGAGAAAAATTAATTTCTGATTTTATTAGGTGTTGGAAATGAATTATAACTGAAATTTCACTACAGGTTCAAAAATAAGATACAGGCAGCATATACAATTCAACCTGGATAGACAACCCCGGAACTCCAGGTGTGGTGAAACTACACAATCTGTCATGCCTATGCCTCTGGAAGTCCTGCCTGTGGATTTCCGTATTGCAATGCCTTATTATATTTCTAGTTTCACCACAGCTGTTGTGCTAGGGTTGCCCACCCCTGCAATATACTTATACAGGGTCACTTTAAATAGAATTCTGTACCCTTTGTGATGTTTGGGGAATATAGCACAATGGTAAGCGCTAAGTGACCACTCCTGAAGCCGACTTTAACATAAAAGGACAGTCTTTATTCATTCAAAAGGTCAACAGGCCATGAACTTCACAACATAACTTGCTTTTCTTCAACATAAACAAAGCATAACAGTTCCTTGGACTCTCATAAATACATCATGTTTTGGTCTCACCGACGTCGGGCTGTCCCAAACACTCCCAGTGTTATAGTGCCAGGACTTTCCCTGGAAATACAGTCCTCAGGTCCAAGACTTTTAGCATCCACCCCTTGTGGGTCACTGTCTCTCTCTGTCTCCCCGACAGGCATCTCAGGATCACAGACCCTCTGCACCTCTCCAGCCTTCCTTGATGTGTCCCTTGTGCTCACGCACGCAGCAGAGTCTGCCCGTGGTTGTGTGCTTGCAGCACACCCACAACTCTCCTCTAAAGCACTGGGCTGGCTTCCTAATAAGGCTGCTCTCAGCCACCTGATCAGCTCAACCTGGCCACTGGCAACACCTGGCTCCAGGACTGGAGATCCCATCCCACTACAGTATGGAAAACCTGTAAGGAATTGAACAGCCAGTTCCTCCTCTCCAAAGGTATTCACATTGTGGAACCTCTCAGCCCCCCTGGCTGGGAGTCCTGGGCGCCAAAGTTGCCATACTAAATCGTGGCATTGCCATGCACTGCCACACCTTGAAGATCATCAAAGATCACAACAAAGACTCTAGAGCTGGGTTTGCCCCCATTAAGCATAATCATTTTCAGGTGATTATGAAGTATGTTCTTTTGCACACTTTCTAGGCATTTGTAAGGCTTGAGCTATTTACTAGGTGAAAGAGATAGTTGTAAAGTGCAAAATCACACAAAAACTCCATGTTTTGCATGTGCTCCCTTTAAAATGCACAATTCTGCCCCTAGAAACTCACATACTTTTTCAGGCTACAAGTGACACACAATTCTGAGTCATGAATGGGCACCAAGCACATTGTCGCACTTCAGGAAATGCATAACAAAACACTGCGAATGGGGGCTTTAATTCAGTTTCCAACAGCTAAGGCTGGGCACACACCTTACAACCATCGCAAGACTTTTGTCTTGCGATGGTTGTAAGGTACTTAAAAAAACGTACGATCTGCCTATGTTGCATAGGCAGATCGTACTTGCGATGATCGCAAGCCATGCTTGCGCACACCGGCCAGTACGGCTGTTATCGTACGGACATGCCACAAACCCGCCGAACATCGTAAGATGCTCGGCGGGTTTTCGAACATTTCCGTAAGATTTCCCGCGATTATCGTACGATTATCGTAAGGTGTGTGGGCACCCTAAGAAACACCTCCTAGTTATTTACATTAGAAGACTAATACTGACTTTAATTTCTTCAAAATGCTTATAGATACAGAGGTAATTGGGGACTTGTTTTAAAGTACTTAGGGTTAGGGTTCTTTAGAATATGTAAATACTTTAGATGTACATGATCTGGGCCAGGTTAACTTTAAATACTATAGCATTTAATTTGATTCGTATCAAGCAATGCCAATAAAATGCTCTTACCTCCAGAATTTGTCATCTACGAAGAAGTAGGTCTTTCCTGTGTTTTCATCGTGGACTGCAGCATCAACTCTTCTAACAGTGCGGGGAAAGCCCAAGTCATAAATGCTTTTGGGTGAATCCTTTGTTACTTCATAACCATTGATAACCCAGTATTTAGCACCTAAATAATAAAATAATACTGAATTGATTAAAACATAACTCATTTATGATTAACAACTATTTTCTAAAATGCACTAATCTGGGGCACAAGAAGAAGGTATGTAGAAACAACTCAGATGAGTTGTACCATTTCTGTGAAATTCCAGACAAATAAGATGTACACACCTTTGAAGACAAGAACCTGATCCTTGTCTTGATATTCGTAAGCAGCCTGAATGTGATTTGGAAGGGCATCCCAGAAGGTTTTGATTAAATGATGCTCAGCTTGTGACTCCTGAGAAATCTGACGCCAGAAGGTTCTGGGAAATACAAAAGGGTTACATTATTTTCAGTGTAATTATTTAGAGACTATTGCATGAACATAATCTTGCTACATCTTTTCTTAATTCCACTCTATTTTTTTATCATTTTATCTCCTAATCAGTAGGTAGAATGTCATTGCTCCTTCTTTAAAACTCAATAAACTCATAACGTTTTTTAACACTTACTTGTTGGTGAAGAATAAGATCTCTCCTCGCAAAGTTGTCACAGCATCAAAAGTGATTGGCTGGCAGGAAGAGGGATTGCTTGGCTGTTCTGGAACCACTGGGACTTCTCTAGCTCCTGCAAATGAAGTAACAATACTACATGTTATGATACAGCAACCTTCTCTATGAAATATGAATTATCTGAGCCACCCATTTACTGCTTGAATCGCTAGTGATTTTCCTCTACTTACCATAGAGTGACTGAATTCCTCTAACATCATCGTCAGGGAGGTGGAATTCACTGGGTTCAATGAAGTGGTAAGTTGGGTACATAAGGGCGCTGGGGTCACTAGAGTGAAAGAGACCCAGGGAATGGCCGAATTCATGTGCAGCCACAAGGAATAAGTTGTAACCTTGAAAGAAACGAAGAATAAGAAAATTAGAATGGGCATTGCATGTACTTTATCTGTAACATACCTAAGTAGTGGGCACCATCCTGGAATGTTAGTGTACTCTTACTGAAGCAAATAATGTACTCAATAAATAGCTATAACCTTGCAGTGATTGTACATATTTTGTATATTGCTGAACAGATATTTCATATACATGCTTTGCATTCTTTTTTCTAGTGTTTCATGTTTCCTAAAGTGGACCTGAAGAAGTGAAGATTTACTATGTTATAAAGAACATTTAGAATATTAATTGTATCTAAACACTAAAATAATCCACCCTTAATCTGCAATTCCTCCTGAAAAATAGCATTTCACTTCCTGGTATGTGAGGGTGCCTACATACTTCTGTGTCTACATTCTCTTAGTTGTATATATAAGGTTTGGAGATGTCTTTTCTGTGCTGCTTACTAGGGAGGAATCTGCACCACATGCATTTATTAACCTTTCTTGCTGCTTAATTTTCCCCACCAGTTATCTGATCACTAGTCTTCATTGGGCAGCTCTGACATGAGAATGGAAAGACCCATTCCTCTACCAAGATGGCTGCCCCCACACAGAGACACAGTATAGAACAAGGTATGGTAGGTCAGCTACAGAGAGCTTAAAGGCAATACTGGTGACTTGTCCTTTGCACTCTGATTACCTTTTTGGGCAGTTTCCAGCATTCGGGGCCCTCTCTTAGCTGTCCAAATCAGACTAATATTAATATTAAAGCAACATTTTTGGTAACATATTGGACAGTGAGGTTTTTGCAATTTTAAATCTTTAATCACATGATCACATAGGATTTACAATGAGTAAATAATCAAATCCTTAAAAAGGATAATCAAATCCTTAAACATGTGTTGTAATTAAATTCATTGTCCTTAGAAGTTTGAGGCAAATATTAAAGCAACACGTACAGGGTCCTGGGGATATTCACTAAGAGAAAGTGAGAACTGTGAGAACTGTGACATGTTCACAAACCAAATTTGAGGGGAAAATATGTTCTCTTCATCTGATTGGGTGTTAAAAAAACAGCTTTGTAAAAAGCTTATATACATAACCAATTACCCATTTAGTTTTAAACACAGAATATATAATGGGTGAGAAGGAATAATTAAGAACTGTTACTAATGCACAGAAATAATAGCCAATTTTAGATTTCACTGTCATGTGTTTGTGGAAAAAAAATATAACTCACCTCTGGATCCGCTAGTCCATGTTTCATCCTCATCAAAGTGAGCATCTCCTCCAATTCCATTATTGGGGGCAAAAGCATGTGCCAGAGTCCCATGTGGGCCATCAAATGGGTAGAAGTCATTGTGCACTGTAAGAAAATAATAGAAAAATGTATCTCTCTATATATAAAGGTTTACAATCTGATATGTTATGACACTGACTTATGAATATACCTTGTGCTGCAAATGAGATCTCAATATCGGCGACACTGTTGTAAATTCGGGTAAAGGTCAGGGGGGTCACATCACTCCAAACCTGGAAGGCTCTCTGAATAGCTGCATCCACTTCAGCAGCGGCCATGTCTGGTGTGTAGTTCACTATCCTAAATAAAAAAAATCAAATGCTTCTATTATTTCCAATTCCTTTTTGAAGGGGTATTAACATAGAACCACCCATTTATATATTTAATGTGTTAGTTACTATCAGAATCGTATGTATATGTTTAGAGAATCCAGTAAGACTAGTCAATTGTTTTGTATCATCTGCCATTCCAGGCTGATAGAGGCTGATGTCAGTGTGGTTCGTAAGACCTCACTTCTTGAGGGCCATATTTAGGAGTTAAAGTCAACACAGCACATTTGCTCAAAGTGTACCTGTTGACAAAACTTTTTTTGTTGCAAGGAACAGTTAGAACCCTTGTAATTTATTGTGAGTCATCCGTTGATTTTTCCTCACTTCCTGTCCCAGAAATACAACAGGAAGTGATTCTTACACATTTGCCATCAAAACCCCATTGGTGTTCCCAATGGAAGATTACCCTCTATTCCTGTTGAGATGACAATTCTAAAATATTTATTTTCCATCACTTCCATCACTGGAGACAATGATTATCAAGAAAATTCAATGTAATAGCAATGAAAACCTGACAGGTACCCTATCCTTCTACTCCAAAATAAAAAAAAATTTTGGTGAGATACAATTCTGAAATAAATTTTGCTTAGTTATTATTCATAGCCAAAAAGAGCCACCTCCAGGACCTTGAGCCATTATGCCCGTTAATAGAAGAACTTGTATTATTATTTTCACCAGTCACAATTTACCTCTCTACTATACCATGGCATTAGCCTCCTGAACCCTACATGTATTTTAATGTGTAGAAAGCTGACAAAAGAGAAACTTTTGTACCTGTATGTCAGTTCACTCTTCTTCCATCCGGAGTTTCCTGGAAATATGTTGTATTCACCCACATCGACAAACCCACACCTGGGCTGGTGCATCATTTCCATAGTGTCCGAGTCAAGTCTTCCTGTCACCTCCAAACCAAAGAAATCCTGCATCTGGCGAATCTTCTCTGAAATCTGACTTCCAGATTTCTTCCTGCCCTGGCGCACCCCATCAGTCTTCAGGTTGTAGTAGTTTTTCAAGTACTCCTGAAGAGATTTTAAAAAAAGGAAATGAAATATCTGTTAATTTGATACTGAATCTCTTGTTATCAAGATGTTCTGGAGGGGATAAAACAGAAAAATATATATTCAGATGATTAATGGTGTTGCAAATTCCTAAAAGTTATATGTTCATGTGGTGTAATCCACCCAAATATTAACAAGGTTACTGGAAACATCGGAGATCTAAGAACATAAGTGGAAAATATTGAAAACATTGCTTTAAATCAAGTATAAAATGATTTCTTCTAAAACTGGGATAGCAATGTTATTTAGTTTTATTTCCGTCAGTGTCCCATTTGGGGAGATTTCTCCAACAAGAACCGAGAAGAATCTGCCAAGGCTTATAACCCTTCCTGATTCTACAACTTAAAAAAAAATTGTTTTGGCTGGAGCTCTGCTCGATTGATTTAGGTAAATAATATATCAAATCAATGACAGTGTTAAAGATTAATCCATTATTGTGCATAATAGTGGAAATATGTCTTAATTAAATTCAGTGTACATCCTTTTTTTAATCACTATAGTTTATTTTATTATTATAATGGTCTTGATTAAATACGTTAAATCTCTATTGGGTCTCTGTGCCTCTCTGAGTAACTTATGAAATAAAAAGTTTTCAACCAGGTAGACTTTTAATAAGGGAAGGGTACAGTAAGCTGCAACCACCATACATTAATACATCACACATAATTAATACATTACTACTTAGAGAAAGGCACATACTGCATTAAAAATAGTTATTAAAAATTATATATATATATATATGTATATACACACACATACACTTTCCCTTGAATATACTCACTTCAGCAAACTTGGCATTCTCTTCGCTGTCCTGTGGAGTTTCAGCTGGAAAAGCGGAGCAGTATGCTACTGAAAGTAGCAGAACGAGAAACAAGTTCTTCATTTCTGGAAGTCTTTTGATTGATAAGTGTTCTCAAGTGTTTCTGCTTTCCTATAATTTTCTGAGTTCCAGGCATGTCCTTATATATCGTACCTGGATGCCTGAGCCAGTCTGCAGAAAGTGACTCACCATTTACAACTTCCGCCAATCACAGCAAGAAAAAAAATAAAACTCTTTCTCTGACAAGTTATGACAAAGTGTAAACTAAGTACATCCCACGCTTGCTCAACATTTTCTCTTGATAGATGATTAATGCTCAGGATGAGGTTTTGGTGTGAAGCAAATGGACATTGAGGTACCACAACACATTGAATAATAAACATGGCTTTATGGTTGAGACATTGATTGAATTATTTTCACATATTTTATAAAAATGAAAGTAAAGAATAAATAACAGAAATACAAAGTAATTAAATTAAATAGATGACTAAATATAAAAGAAGATGGAAATATCCATCAGGAAAATAATAATAATTATAATAACCAAAGTAATACTAATAATAACAACAACATTATTATTATTAATAATAATAATAATAATAAAAACAGTGCTAGTAATAACAATAATAATAGTACTACTACTAATAATAATACAAAGTATGTTTAAATTATGTTAATAATAATGTTAATACTACTTAATAAGTGTTGTAGTTGTTATTATTATTATAAACTTTTGTTCAGTTTTTTTTTTAACTTTTGAAAAGGATAGCATGATGTTGCAGCCAAACACTGCCCCCTTCTCCCCCCTGCCCCCCTCTCCTACTAATACTACCCATTAAGAGACTTCTTTGTTATAAAGGTTTTTTTTATCCCCAATTTTTCAATACTAGAACAGGCACACTTTTGCTAGTATTAATAATAATTAGTAGTATTAAATATATTATTCATTAGGGATGCACCGATACCAAGTACCGTACTCGGTACAAGTAAAAGTACAGATAGTTTTCCAGCTCCAAGACTAGACTAGAGAAACATTCAAAAGTTAGGAGGCAGCTGTCATTTTTAAGGAGCACACGCAGCTCCTGGGATTTGTGTATCCCTGTTTTAATGTATGATTTCATTTTAATAAATATATATTAGGGATGCACCGATATCAGTTTTTCAAATACAAGTACTGATGCTTGCCCAAGTACTCACAGATGCAAGTACTGATACATTTTTGTTTAGTGTCATGTGACAGTTTTTCTAAAACAATACAGACTAATGATTTCAGGACAGTGGTGAAGCACCAGAGCCAGGTCCCAGCTGCAACCGCTGCAACCCTGGTACTTCTAATGAAAATGCCAAAGTATCGGCACTGGTATCTGAACATTCCTATCATTCATCTAATTCTTTCACAAACAATTACTCCTCAGTGTAAAGAAAAAACAGTTTGTTCTATTCGTTCTCAAATCCACCCCCGGCTACAGTGTAAAATATGCTATTTTTTTTAAATCCTACTGTGGTATTGTGTGGCAATCCCACAGTGGAACTGGGGGTTGTAGTAACCCAGGACTCTCAGCCAGAGAGACTGAGCAGTTCCAGGAAACAAACTATTTTGCTAGGAAAGAACTGTCTTTGCAGTTCTCTCCAGAAAACCTGGATTTGGTATGGGATCCTGGAACTGGGAGATTTCAAAGAGAATTGGGAGGGATGAAATCTCCATTCCTGGGTCCATGGTTTAGTAGGGATCAGAACCTAATGATTGCACACCTGTGCATAGCCCTTATGGAAAGGGTGCTGGCTAGTGTTCTGGGCTCCAGCTGGGAAGAGGAACAAAGGTGTTCAGGAGTCAGGAGGACTCCACCCAGACGTCAGAGGGGAGCCAGGTGGCTGTGTGTGCTGGAGGCACCTCGAAGACAGCTGAGGAGACAGAGAGCCAGTGACACATGAGGGATGTGTTTGAGTGCCCACGAGGGGAGAGGTCAGGAAGGTCAGTGACCCTAGGACCGCTACGACACACTGCCGAGAGAGCAGAGTGAGGGCTCATAAGCGAATCTACTGAGCCATATAAAGGGAACTGTCTTATGTTGCTGCTGATGCAAGATATATTTCTGTTTGCCCTAAATAAACTGCATTTGATTTGACTTACATGGACTACAGTGGAGTGTCCTTGTTACACTACGTTTTCTAGATTTTTGTTATTTTTGTGTTTGTCTTTCCCTTTTAAAGCTCTCTATGTATCATACACCGAGCCGCCAATCTCTACCCCACCCTCAGTCACCACCGGCCACTTGTACACTATGCACACCCTTGTCTTGCAGATGGATTATGTGTATTCTATATGTCTCATTTTATATGTTGAAGAAAATCTTTCAATGCATTTATGGTCTTACTGGTATCAAATGTTTTAAGATTTTTTTGTAAAGGTAAAGTGACCCTGTTACTTGTGCTCAAAAAACATCCTACAAAAGAATAGGCTCTATGCTTACCATTGCGGTGTCTCATTTGTTGAAACAAGGCCACTTTATTTCTCTGACCACAGAAGCTATTGCATACTTTGGGTGAGCAGGGTACCTGTTACTCCCATGGTATGCTGTGGTTCCTCCTGCCGACTCATTACTATTTATTGGCAGTAGTTTGGAATGCCTGTCGCGACCACGCTGAAAAAGTAATCATGAAGTTGTTCTTTTTTTATGATGTTTTTTGAGTACAAGTAACAGGGTACCTTTACCTTTACTGGAACTCTCAAAACATTTGATACCAGTAAGAGCATACATGAAAATTTTCTTCAACATTATAAACGAGACATGTAAAATGCATATAATCCATCTGCAACACAAATGATACATATGCATTAGACTACACAATACCAGCATTTCTTCATGTATCTATTAAAGGTATTTATAGAACTCCAACAATTTATACAGCACTTTACATAGTTGCACATTCACATCAGTCCCTGACCTCAAGGAGCTTACAATCTAAGGTCTCCATCTCACATACATACAGGGAAAATTTAGACCGGCGCCAATTATCCTTCCAGCATGTCTTTGGAGTGTGGGAGGAAACTGGAGTACCCAGAGGAAACAGCACGCAAGCACAGAGAGAACATGCAAACGCCATGTCGATAGTGCCCTGGGAGAAGAAGTGCTAACCACTAAGCCACTGTGCTACCCGCATGTTTATTAATTTCCCAAAAAAGTGGCAAAAAATAAGATCACTTTGGGGTGTATACTTTCACAAAAGGCTCATATTGTCTTGACATATTTATTTCCTGTACCGGATAGTGAAACATTATTTTTTCAATATTTTTGGTCTTTTTTCCTTTATATAGTAACCAACAAAAGAAAACTCTATCTGTCACCAGAAATTATATAAATTATATTATTTGAAAAGAAATAACATCTATACAAAATTAAGGGTTACAAATATGCTCATATAAAGATAGACTTGATCCTATGTGACCCTCAGAAGTGGCTGATTGGCTACCAGTCGCTTTTATACCAGTTGCTATGCCTGATGAAGGGATCCTGTGTGGTCCCGAAAGCGCTTGTGTATTTGACATAAGTTTTGAATAAATTAATGATTGACTATCCTTGAAGGAGTCTGGTGTGCTGGTGACATCTCTTTATTATCTTCAACTGGCGGCGCGGTAATTCCAAGCACCAGTCCCCATATTTGGGATTTTCCGGTAAGGAGTGCAACAAGCCTTTCTCTTCATATCTTGATCCTATCCCTTCAGAACAGCGTTACATTTATTACAAACATTGGTAGAGTACGGCATAGGCTTTAGTACTAAATTTGTCCTGCAGATGGCAGGAAAACTTTAGAATACCAGCTCACAGTCCTGAGGCTATATCAGCTGTAGAAGCGAGGGATCATACTGAGTGAGTTCTTGGGAAAATCATACAAAATCTTGAAATCGCCCCTAAAAAATATATATGCCAAAACAGCTATGAATAAAGGGAAGCAACTTGCTCATGTTTTTATACAGGTTGTCACACTTTCAAATTTTCTTTTAAAGGGAAATGTATACACTTTGTTTTGTTTTTTACATGTAACATAAATCAACTATAGGTACATAATGGTATCACAATAGTATCAGTACATCTTAATGTCTAAAACCTGAGATCCAGCCTGCTCAAATCCTTGTGTTTCCTCCTAAACGTCAGTCCCAGTTGCTGGAACTGTAGGCAAAATAGAAAATGAATATATAATGCTGTTTTGTTAATAGCATTACACAGCAGAGGAATCCCCCAGTAACATAATTTTATTACCTGTTGATTCGTAGTAGATTAATTTCTCTACTTCCTGTTACAGGCCAAGCTTTCCAAGAAAAGTGGCAGTTACAGGGGTTTACAGGGGTTTTGAACCAGGGGCGTCCCGAGGCTGGGTGACACCCGGAGTGGTAACCGAGTGTCACCCCGCCGTGACGTCACCATGTGCGTGCGCAATGACGTCTTTGCGCACGTGCGGCAGTCTTCTGATACCTGCCGGTGGCCATCTTGGTGATGTCCGCTGACAGAGAGAGGAGGGGACAGTCACCCGGCGGGATAAGGTATGGCGCTGAGTCCCCTCCTCTCTCCTGATACTGTCGGGCGTTCGGTCCATGACCAAGCGCCCGACTTTTCAGAGGGGGGTGACACCAAAATGACTGTAAGTCATTTTGGTGTCACCCCTAAAATGGTGTCACCCGGGTGTGGCCCGCACCCCCCTTGTGACACCACTGGTTTGAACTAACTATATTACACTGTCAGGTGTGCTTACAATGGTCAGCTCTTATTCTCATGGCTTAAACCTTTGTTCAAAAAAAAGTGTTAGCTGGAATTGGGATTAAATCTGTTTTACATTTAAAAGTCCATCGAAGAGTACTCTGCCCATAAGGTGACAACGCTGCTGTGTAATATTACTGCAGAATAAACAGCACTGGCACTCTTTTAGAGGAAGTGAAAAACAAATGGATCTACAAATCAACAGGTAACAACACTATGAGATAAGAACAAAAAGAGTGCACTGGATAGAGCAGGCAAATCACCTTTAATACGTAAAATAATAACATTGTACTTACAGACAAGCCTTGAAACCTTTGATCAACTCATCATTGCATTTGTATTTGG